AAAGGGTACCTAGTAGAAATATGGGAAGAAGAAAAAGGGATGGAAACCATTCTTCCCCCCAAAATAAAGTAGTACAGGATTTAGAGCAAAATGAAGAAAACAGATACCCAGATCCAGACTCCAACAAAACAAAGATAAACTATACCAAGGAGCCCAACGAAGCCCACAAGAACACACTGAAAGAAGAAATCCTACAAGTAATTAATGAGAATTTCATAGAGATGTTACTAGACATGGTCAACCAAAACGTACAGGAGGCACTCAAGAAATTCCAAGACAACAAAATTAAAGAATATGAGAAAACACAGAAACAAATAAATGAAAATCATAGGAACTCTAAATAAATACAAAACTGAAACAGAGATCACCATAAACAGAGAGAGAAATGAATTAAGGGCAAAAATTGGCAATATTAAAGAGGAAGTAACCCACGATATGGAAAACCTCAGAGAAAAGAATGAAACAGAAATACAAAACAAAATGGAAGGCCATTCCAACAGAATAGAACAAACAGAAGACAGAATCTTAAATCAAGACCTGTGAAAAGAAAATGCAAGAAGTCACTGACTCTATTAGAAGACCAAACCTGAGAATCATGGCATTGAAGAAGGAGAAGAGGTGCAAGCAAAAGGAATGTGTAATATATTCAACAAAATAATAACAGAAAATTTCCCAAATCTAGAGGAAACTTTAATTACCATTTCATCTTCGAGTTCTGAGATTCTGTCTTCTGTTTGTTCTATTCTGCTGGATTGGCCTTCCGTTTTGTTTTGCAGTTCTGTTTCGTTCTTTTTTCTGAGGTTTTCCATATCCTGGCTGTTTTCTTCTTTATTGTTGTCTATTTTTGTCCTGAGTTCATTTATCCATTTATTCATTGTGTTCTCTCTTTCACTTTGGTGTTTATACAGTGCTTCTATGCTTTCCTTTATTTCTTCTTTTGCTTCTTTTGCTTTTTCAAATTCCTCTTAATTTTTGTTGTCTTGAGAATTTCTTGAGTGTCCTCCTGTAGCATTTTTGGCTGACCCTATCCAGTATCATCCATCTATAAAATTCTCATTGAGTTACCTGTAATATGTCTTCTTTTTAAAATTATCTTGTGGGCTTCATTATGGGTCCTTTGGCATAAGTTTATCAATTCATTTTGTTGGAGTCTGGATCTGAAGTTCTGTCTCTTCATCCCCTCTGGTTCCTGTACAAATTTTTTTGCTGTGGGAAACTGGTTTCCCTGTTTAACTGTCTCCAGTCATTGTCCCTTGGGTGTTGTTTACTGTCCCTGTACTGTGTGTAATTAAGTATTTTTCTAGCTTGTAATAATAACAATGGTAATATTGAGAATGGAAGATGAGCTGAGATGGAAAGCAAGAAGATTAAAGAAAAGGGGAAAAACAAAATATACAGACAAGAGGGGAAGCAGAAACAAGGTATCAGACAAGAGAGTTTCAAAGGTATAAACAGGGAGTGTTAGTGTACTAATCGACAGTAAGCTGAACAGACAATAGAGAGACAGAGAGAGGATTGAAAATCAAAGATAAAAAAAATAAAAAATAAGTATATGAAAGTAATATCTATTTATAAAAATGAATTAAAATAAAATGGAAAATAGAAATTAAAAAAAAAAACCAAAAAAACTTCCAAGTTTATATGCAATGCAATTTCAGTCTTAATAATTTGGATGTCCGTCTCAATCTCCAGTCCTGGAGTTGGTGCCTCAGATGTTGTTCTGTAGTTGTCTCATCAAAGGGGATGCATAAAGTAGAACAAAACTACACTCACACACACACAGAAGAAAAAAAAAAAAAAGCCCCACCAAGTGTCCCCAGTTCAAATGCAATACAGTTTCAGTAAGTTTTTCGGCTTGCAGGTGTAATTCGGTTGTTCTCTCATCAAAGGTAGGGAGAAAAAGAAAAAAAAAGCGTCTGGAGGCAGTTCTGAGAGTGGTATCTGCAACTGTGGCTTGCCTGCCTGCTGCTCTCAGCCTGTAGCTGGCGGCGTTATTTATGCAGATCTCTGGGGTGAGCTTAGCACTCACCTGGTCCCACAGGCTTTGTTTGCTCAGAGTTCTCCTGTGCGGGAGCCTCTGCTACAGGCTTTTCCCCTTTCCAAGCACTGGGAAAGGCGACACTGCCCCGCGTTGTCAGGCCTGCGTGTTTATTTACAGTTCACGTGGGAAGTGGGTCTTCCCTCCTCTCACAAGCGTCCCCGCTCCTGGTTGCTGGCGCGCCCCGCTCCCGCCAGAGCCTCTCCGGCCCGCCCGGCTCGTTTATTTACAGTCCCGGGAAGGATTCCCTTCCCCCAATCTTCAGCGCTCAGGGCGCCCCACCCTCTTTCCAGCGTGTCTTAACTGTTCTTATTGCTTAGTACTCAGTTTCTCTTTTTTTCCCGGGTGGAGGTCAGTCTGTCCAGGGGGCTATGCTGCTCTGGCCCAGGCTTGTCTGTGGGGGAACCGCGGTACCGCGAAGCTCACCTGGTCCGCGTCTTCCCAAGCCGTATGGGCGCCGGCCACTGGCGGCCCCGGGGGCCTCCTCGGTTCTCCGTTTAACGTGAAGTGGAGATTCTCTGCGCCGGCTGGAGATGTGGAGGAGTCAAAGTTATGCCTTTTCTCGGTGATTATGCCTGCAAAGTGTGTCTCCAGCGTCTCTCCAAGATTTCACTATAGGAGGCTCGCTTTCTGCTTCCTACCTCTAGCCGCCATCTTGGAATCTCTCCTTAATTTTTATCTTACACATATGTGCATACAATGTTTGGGTCATTTCTTCCCCCCCCCCCCCCACTTTTATGTTCTTGATGGGGATTTTCTCAAGTCTGAGGAACTGTACCATAATTCCATATATAGCCCTTGAAGGGGAAGATACTCATCACATGGTGTAGCTTGCCACCCTTTACCTCTTGTTTAATGGGACTTGTTGGCTGTTTTGTGGCAGTCTCCATTTTAACATTGTTCGCCAGCATTCTTCCACAACCACATTAATCAAACTCTCATATTCATCATTTCATGCTTTCTTTATAGGAATGCCATTTTGTAGTTGTGTCATCTTGGTTCAGTAAAATGCCTTCAGGCTCATAGTTCTCTTTAGAGTTCACCTTCAGAGGACTGTTATGAATGGAAGGGAATGTAGTGACCAGCTTTATTCTAGCAAAGCAGGTGCTCTACTGCTTGAGCCACAACACCAGTTCATTTTTCTCTGGTTATTTTTGGAGATGGTTTCTTACAAACAATTTGCCTAGGCTAGCCTTGAACCATGATCCTCCCAGTGTCATCTCCCAAGTAGCTTGGATTACAGGCATGAGCCACCAACACCCAGCTAGCATTCTTGAAGAAAGGATGCTACTCCTGCAAGTAGTGAGGCTGGCCACACCTCCTTGCTATAAGGGCCATATCCTTGCAAGGCCCAGGGGTTGGACAGGCCTAGGCACCTGTTCTCTTGTTAAAAAAAAAAAAATCCCAAGTGCTGTGTACCACTATGTACACAGCACATAATCCCATAGTGTACCACTATGCTGAACTCTATTAAAATTTACTAGCTGGGCACTGGTGGCTCATGCCTGTTGAGTATCATGGTTTGAAGCCAGTCTGGGTAAATAGGTCATGAGACCCTGTCTCGAAAAACCTATCACGAGAAAAGGGCTAGTGGGGTAGCTCAAGGTGTAGGCTCTGAGTTCAAACCCTAGTGCTGCAAAAAAAAAAAAAGGGTAAAAACTTCCTCAAAATGTAGCATGTTAATTTCTTTTTCACTTATTTCAGCTGAGCCCCTGATAGCCACTAATCTACTTTGGGTACATACTTTTAGGAGTGGAGTTGCTGGGTTATCTGGGAACTGTTGAACTTCTTTGAGGAGGTGCTCTGAGGTCAGATTATTTTCCAAAAGAGCTGCAGAATATGAAGGTTTACATTTCTCTGTATCTTTGACAACAATTGTCATTGTCCCTCTTCTGTCTTTGCCCATTGAATTGTCTTGGCATCCTTGTCAAAAGTTAGTTGGCCATAAATATAGAGATGTATTTCTGGATTCTCGGTTTCCATTCATATGTCTGTCCATATGCCTATACCATCCAGTATTGATTACTGTAGCTTTATAGTAAGTTTTGAGGTCCAAACTGTGAGTCTAGGGGCTGGAGGTATAAATCAGGGATAGAGTGCTTACCTAGCACATATGAAGTCCTGGGTTTAATCTCTTAATATAGAGATTCAAGATCTCTTCCATTCAAGATTGTTTTGGCTGTTTTAAGTGTCTTACATTTTCATAGGGATTTTAGGATCAGCTTGTCAATTATTTTTCGAAATAATAAAAAGATGGTAGTATTTCTATAGGGATTGTGTTAAATCTATGTCAATTTTGGAATATTACCTTGTTAACAAAATTAAGTGAGAGCTTCAGTGATGACATAAGAGTCTTTGCTTTTGTTTTTCCTTTCATCAACATGTGGCAGTCAACAATATATATACAAGTTTTATATTTCTTTAATTAAATTTATTTCTAAGTATTATTTTGATAATACTGTAAAGGAAAGTGTTTTCTTAATTTTGCTCTCAAATTGTCTTCTGTTAGTGTAATTAGAAAGTAATCCTCTAGTAATCCTGCAACCTTGATGAACCTTTTTATTAAATGAATCTCTTCTGCCTTTTTATTTTTTTTTAGCTTCTTGAGTATGCATATTAGGCCAGTCAGTTTCCCTTTTTTTTTTTCTGATTAGTTCACTTTAAGGTAACACATTTTCTTATCATTATTGCTTTGATCACAAATATTTTAATATGAAGTATAACTGTGATTTGTTTTGATTTCAGCATTGATTTTCTTTTTAATTCAATAATGTCATATAATTTCCAGATGTTTAGGGGGATTATATTTTTGTTCATACTTAATTACATTGAGGTTGGTATGATTTTTTTTTTTTAATGAGGTCATGAAACTTTCTAAGTTAAGATTTTGCTCCATAAACAGCAAAATACAAATACTTTTGTCATAGAACCCCAAATAAACCAGGTGGGACTATTGAGTGCCATGGTTTTGCTGGACAGTATAGATAGAACAGCTTCCATGCATGGTAAAACTAAACCTTTCTTTGATTGATAGTGAGTTTTTTGCTATTTGATCATATTCAGAAATGTTTCTAAATGTCTTTGCAGCCACAAATAAGAAGAATAATTCACCCAAGCCAGCTCGGTCCAGTATAGCAGGTAGTCTATCACTTCGAAGAGCGGTTGACTCTGGGGAAAATAGCCGTTCAAAGGGAGACTGTCAGACTTTGTCTGAAGGTAATTTTGGCAGAACATACTGTCAGAGGTTAGATGTCTATAAATTGATGTTATGATGTAGCTTTAGACTTTGAAAGGCACCCAAAATGCTAGTTATATTTGAAGTCATTCTTCCTTCTTCAGCCTCCCAAGTGCTGAGTACCACCATACAATTTGAAATTTCTTTTCTTTTTTTTTCCTTTTTTTGTGTCTGTACTCATATTTTAAATTCAGGGCCTTGCAATTGCTAAGTAGATGCTTTTCTACTTGAGCCACACCCCAGGCCTGAAATTTCTTGATCTCATACTAGAACTGAACCTTTATGAAAATCAGACATTTAGCTGGGTGCAATGACTCAGACCTATAATCCTGGCTACTTGGAGGTGGAGATTGGATCACAATTCAAGGCCAGCCCGGCCAAAAAGCTCACAAGGCCCCATCTCAACAAATGGCTGGGCACACTTCTGTCATCCCAGGCCTGCCCGGGTATAAAGTGAGACCCTATCTCACAAAAAGGGCTGGAGGCATAGCTCAAGTGGTAGAGCGCCTGCCTAGCAGGTATAAGGCCTTACGTTTAAACTCCAGTACCAACTGGGAAAAAAATGCAGATATTTGACTACATATGTTCTTATTATCAAAAAGACTGGGGTATATTTAAAAATTGTTTTTGGAGTTTTTACTTAGTTTTAAAATGCATATATAGTGAGATATTCTATACTGAGAGAACTTTCATGTTTATTTGTTTTACTTCTGTATTTCCCTCTTTTCTTTTCTGAAGGCTCCCCAGGAAGCTCTCAGTCTGGGAGTAGGCATAGCTCTCCACGAGCCTTGACCCATGGCGTTATTGGGGATATTCTGCCCAAAAGTGAAGATCGTCAATGTAAAGCTTTGGATTCAGATGCTGTTGTGGTTGCAGTTTTCAATGGCTTACCTACTGTTGAGAAAAGAAGGAAAATGGTCACCTTGGGGTAAATTAAGTTCTTTTGTTGTTTGGAACTTCAAGTTTACATCATAACAAACAAAATCAAATTCTACTTGGTTGCTTTTTTTTTTTTTAAGGCAGGCATAAAGTTCATTTACTACCTTACTTAATATGTAACACTTTTTTTTTTTTTTTGGTGCTTGGGATTGAATCCAAGCCCTGGTGCATAAGTTCGTGTTGTAGGGTTAGAGGGGGTCCACTCCAGGGGGTCTTGTCTTCACTGGGTTTAGGAATAAGCTAAGGAGACACAGATAGTGCACACACAGGTAGATTTATTAGAAAAAGAAAAGGCTGCTGCTAGAGCAGTGCAGTGGAGCCCTGCTGAGGTGAAGGCTGGGGCTTTTTATGGACGCTTTAACTCTGGGTTAGGGTGAGGCTTAGGTCATGGATTTGCGAGGGTGGGCTCTCTTCGATGGTTGCTCTTTTTGACCCTTCTTGGGAGGGGTGGGGGCAATCTTGAGAGCATCCTATCTGTCAGTCCTGTGGCAGATTTCTGAGGCCATGTATCTCCTCAGGGTGCAGGGCTCCTCGTGCCCTCCATGTGGGATGGGATACTGACTCATTCATCTGTCCCTTAGGTTCCCAGACCAAACATTCAGTTGTAAGTTAGGGTAATAGTGATGTATGACCTGTGCGAACTCTGCCTTATGAGATTTGTGTGTCTGTGTTGGAATTTTTTGTTTGTTTCTAAACTCTATTCCATACCTTTCAAAGACATTTGTGCTGGTCTATATTATGTGTCATAGGTGTGTTACACATGCATTTTGTATGGAATAAAGTACTTCCAGCAGTCTTATTTCAACACTTCTTTTCTGCTTTTTTCTCACCTTTTTCTGTCTTATGAAAGTATCCTTAACTCATAGTTCCAAATTTCTGAAAAGAAAATATGGTAGTTGACACTTTTATCTCTGTCCCAGGAAACAAACTCAGATCCCAGCCATGTCAATTAAACTTCAACTATTCAAAAGATAGAGAAATCATAGACTGTATTGTCTGTGGATGTGCTACACGAGCCATAATATTCATCTCTCACCTATTATATGGGTGTTAAGTACATGTTAAAATTTAAACAACGGATTAGTTCTCCCTGGAGACTTTAAAGACTTTTTGAATGCAATTTAGAGTAAGAGTAACATCCCTTAAGTTTACTTTATTTCATATACTTTTAAGATATGGCTCATTACCAAATCTAAATGAAGAACTAGAAGTTTTAATTTTCTTTTTAGCTCAAGTTTCAGCAGGGGAAAGGTATTAAAATCAAGGGGAGCTGGGAATAGTGACACCTGCCTGTAATTACATTACCTAAAAGGGTGAGGCAGGAGGACTGAATTTTTAAGGCCAGACTGGGCAACTTAGCAGACCCTGTCTCCAAAGAAACTTTTTAAAAAGGTCTGGAGCTATAGCTCAGTGGTTAAGTGCTTGCTAGCTATTATGAGGCCCTGAGTTCAATCCACAGTACCAAAAATGAAAAAGGCAAAAAAATAACTAGAGATTATCTTGTCTTCTCCATTTCCTAGCCTGATGTTTGCATGTTCTTTCAAGTTAAAGCTGCTAGAACTCACTTTCATTTTTTATTTGTTAAAGAGATATTTGCAGCTGCCTTTCATCAAAAAAGATTTAATGTACATGAATATAGTTTTTTTCCCCCAAAAGTATTAATCCTATACCCCCAATGTCTGCAATTTGTAGCTGTAATCCTCATTTTACAGTTAATTGTATCTGCATCCTCATTCATGTGGGTGCTCTGCAGCTTGTCTTTTTTTCCCTGCCCTGTTTAAAGTAATGTAGGCAAAAAGCTTAAGTACTAAGTGGTTCACAATGAAAGGGGAAAAAAATATTAAGTGAAAATGTCCCCATCTTTGTCTCTCTCCTGCATTCCTGCTGTTTATGTGAGACTAGAGTTTGAACTCAGGGCTTTATACTCACAAGGCAGGTGCTCTACCACTTGATCCACACCTCCAGTCCATTTTGCTCTGATTATTTTGAAGATGGAGTCTCTCGAACTGTTTGCCTAGGCTGGCCTCCCAATCTAAGCCTCCCAAGTAGCTAGGATTACAGGTGTGAACAACTGGTGCCCTGCTTCTTAATTTTTTTTATGTATGACGTGTCTTCTGAGTTTTTATGTATTTAAGCAATTGTGACTTGTGACTAATTTTAATACCAGTGGTGTACCTTGTTTTCTCACTCATTAATGCATCTTTTCATAGTAGTGAGAATATGTTATTTAGTACTTCTTTTTATTTTAATTGAAGTTTTTGAGAGATCCCTCATGCCATATACTATTTTCTCTAATGCTAACATTTTGCAGAACTATAGCACAATTTCACAATCAGGAATTGATATTAATGCAGTCCACCATCTCATAAGTTCTCATTGTGAATCTCTAGTGAATTTTTTAAAAATAAAATGGGAATTTAGTATTATACATTAGTATATATATCCTACTTGGTTTGGGGTTCAGTTTCAGTATAAGAAAAAAATGTAGATTCTGTGTCACTTAGTAGATATGTGAAAAATCAAGGTTTTTTTTCTCAAGGGCTAATGCTAAAGGAGGTCGTCTGGAAGGAATGCAGATGACTGATTTGGAAAATAATTCTGAAACTGGGGAGTTACAACCTATACTTCCTGAAGGAGCTTCAGCTGCCACAGAGGAAGGTAAGGAATAATTAAAAGTTGTATTAGGCAGAAAGCAGGAATACTAACTCAGGGTGGTAAGGAGTGGTTGGTTTAATAAAAATGTCACTGACATACTTGATGTCAACCCAGCATTCACTGTGCATCTTGAGTTTGATTTACTAGGGCATTAAGCACAGAGGAAGGCAAAATGGATAATTTTCTACATAAAAGGACATGTCTTGCCTGGCATGGTGACACACAGCTGTAATCACAGCTACTTGGGCTGTGGAGGTAGGAGGATTGTGGTCCCAGAGCAGCCTAGGCAAAAGCAGAAGACTCTCTGAAACACAAACTGCAAAGCAGAAAGGGTTGGGTATGACTCAAGTGGTAGAGCACTTGCCACCAAGTATGAAGTCTAAGTTCAGTCTTCACAAAAAAAAAAAAAAAAAAAAAAAAGACAAATCATACTAGAAGTGGCATTTACCAGGAGAAAGGGGCTGTAGATCATTCATCTGCTCAGTCGATAAACACCTACATGTCAGGCATTGAATTTTTACTAGATAGGCAAAGACAAATTAGATGTGTTCAGAGACTTGTAAGGAAGACATGCTCCAAAAAAGCTAGTGAGATTAATAAGTGTTAAGTCTTTGTCATTTGAAGTCAGTCTTAACTAATGTCTAGAGACCACTTTATTCGTCTTACAGAAGCATTCCATGCTTTAATTGCTTTAAAAATTCCTTATTCTGACCAACCTCAGCTCTGCCAACTTTTTTTCAGTTACACTTTCTAATATTTTATCTACATGTTCTTCCAAGTTCATTATTATTAATCTGGAAAAGTAGAAGACACTTTGTTATTTTGGATAACAGAAAGTTCATGCCAAGCTATATGTATTGTCCTTTGTTAGCATCCAAGAATGCTGACTTTCTAAAAGATACTTGGCATTGAAATTTTTTTTTCATTCTTACTGAAACTTTTCTGCCTTCTACCTCTGCAGTCTTTTGAATTCCAGTGACTTATGAATTGTAGCTAAAAATATATGTACCGGTACCAACATCTGCTTCTGGCTGCCAGTGAGAGTATGTGAGGATGGCATTTTTAGTTTCCTCAATTAAAAAACACTAAATGTATTTGTGTTCTCTCATAGATGGTACTCCTGAAGTGGAAGAGATTAAATGCAAAGAGTTTTTAACATCAATTATTAAAACATTAAGGAATATTATGACTGATTATCTATATAGAAAGGACCTATGGATGTTAGCTATTTTCCATGTGTTTATACATTACCGATAATAAATTGTAATGATTTAATTCTCACAGCTTGTGGTATAATTAACAAGCTTATCTTTTTTTCCTAATTTGCCTGCCTTGCTGGTGAAACATAATTCCTGAACCTCCTACTATTTAGTTCAGATTTCTCTACCGTGGTAGAAAAGTTTTGGATTTCTTAATTATTGTATGGACACTGTCCTGTGCATTGTAGGATACTTAATAGCATCCTCAGCTTTTAGCCACCAGGTACATGCCAGTGGTATTTCCCCAGCAATTACAACAACTCAGAATGTCTGTAGGCATTACCAATGTACCCTTGGGAGGCAAAAAATCACCCCTATTCAAACCAAGTAACTCAACTGGGAGTGATGCTCCTTGAGAATCACCTACCACTGTGGGCCGCAGTTCTTAATGAGAACAAGTTGACGCTCTCAGATATGTTTAGATACCAGTGGTAAAAGGGAGGAGGGCTGAAAGACGAATTGAAAAGTACTGGTTAGTTGTTGATGAGAGTGCTCTGACAGGGTGTATAAGGAGCTCAAAGAAGTATAATAATAATAATAATAGATAATGTTTATTAAGTCCTTACTATGTTTCCTGAGACTTACCAGTAATGTTCTATATTAATAGTATTATTCTCATTTTACAAGTCATTAAGCTGAAGTCTAGAAATGCAGTTACCTTGCCCATAACTCTCACCCTCTACTAACGTAGCTTCTAGCACAACCTTGGAAAGTTCATCCTTCAGATCTGAAGAAGTAGTGAGGTAAAGAACAGCAAATATGAGTCTAGAATGGAAGTAGAGGTCAGATCATGAAGAACTGCATTCTATGTCCTGTCTAGAATCTTGGCTTTGTCCTTTGAATGGGATCCAAGCAGGAAGTGATATAATAAAAGTGTGTTTTTAAATTTATCCTGGCTGCAGCATGGGCTGGGTATGGTGTGTGGAACTAGGGAACGGGAAAAACTGGCAAGAAGCATGTCCAATAATCTAGGTGAAAGATGATGTGAACTACATTTTTATCATTGTTTGGACAGGGTCTTATATAACCCAGACTGACCTTAAACTCAGCATCCTTCCACCGCAAGCTCACAAGTGCTGGGTTTGCCCACCAAGCCTGCTGAACCTCTTACTGTCAGCCTCCAGCTCACAAATTAACATTATCTTAGCAGTTCTTCTGTGTAAATAGCTGACTAGTATGAAAAACGTTGAAAGTATTTGACATTTTCACTTTTATTTAATGCAAATTGATAGCTTATTTTAAAGGCATTTATTTGCCTGGCCATATTTAGGATCTGCACTGCATTTTATAAGTTTTTGAAAGCATGTGATTATTGAGGTGAGATTTACAGCTAAGTGTTCTTCAGTAACACATTTTATCTTCATATAAGAAGTGCTTTGCTGATAGAAAGCACCAGGAATTCAATAAGAAAGATTTTTATAAACATGCAAATCAACAGTAAAATAGCAGTACACCCTGGCAATTATTGGTATCTAAACAGCTTGTTTATTTACTGCTGGATCCCAGAATAGGCAATGAGAAGGCAACTAACTGATGGGAGATGGGAACTGCTACAATATTAGCTTTGTGATTTTTGAAATCTGGCTTTGTTTATAGAAGTGTACAGGGGCCTGGCTCACTGCTAGGGATATTATTTCTATTCATCAGCAGGAGCTAGTTCTTCATGAACCTTTTTTTTCACACCTATGAACCCTAGCAAACAGTTGATTAGGTTTGTCTTGTATCCATGTTTAGGAAAATCAAGATTCTTTATTTGTGCCAAATAGAGAAAATGTTCCTGTGTCAGATCACTGTTGGTTCTCTCTTGAAGAGAAGACTGTCTGAAGAAACTTTAAAATACTGTATCAGTTGTCTGTTTTGATACTGGCTGGGAGTTTGGGATTACAGCTAAAGTAGTACCTCCATTCTAACTGGGACCTATAGGACAAGCACATATTAGTCTTTTGTCTAATGGTCTAATACTGAGAAGCTTGACTTCTCTAGACCCCAGTTGGTAACCTACAGAATTCCTATAGGTAGGCCAGTTTTTCAGATTGTTCTGTATAAAACTGGAGACTGAGTTTCTGTTAAAATAGCACAGGTCTACATCAGGGGTACTCAAAACATCCATCCCAATGGGCTCACCTATTAAAAACTTTCTTAGCAGCCTACCTCTCAGGAGTGAGTCACACACAGAGTGATAGTCTGGCCTCACTGATCACTTTTAATTATCAATGTGGATACTTTTAACAAAAGTTACCCAAAAAAATCAAGCAATTAACTGAAACAATAATGAAAATTAACTCTTGTATTAACAAGAAATCTCCTGATATCAAGAAGTCATACCTAACTATGGTAAGGCAATTTCAGGATTAAGAAACTTAGTTGTTCATGCTAGAGGTATCACAATATCTCATGTCAAATTATGCTACAGAGCCATAGTAACAAAAAAAGCATGGGACTGACACAAAAACTGACATGAAGACCAGTGGAATAGAATAGAAGATCCAGAAGTAAACATGCACAACTACAACCACCTGATTTTTGGCAAAGGAACCAAACGCATACCTTGGAGGAAAGACAGACTCTTCAACAAATGGTGTTGGAAAATCTAGATATCCACATATAGAAGACTGAAACTAGATCCCTATTTTTCATCTTGTACAAAAAACTCAACTCTAAATAGATCAAAGATCTTAACAATGTGTAAGACCTGAAAGTTTGAAACTACTACAGGAAAACATAGGGACAGTACTTGAAGATTATACAGGCATAAGCAGTTACTTTCAAAATAGGAAATAAGAGCAAAAATTAGTAAATGGGATTGCATCAAATTAAAAAGTTTCTGCACATGAGAGGAAACAATTACCAGAATCAAGAGATAACCTATAGAATGAGAGAAAATCTTTGTAAGCTATTCATTGAACACAGTATTAATACCAGAATATATAGGGAGCTCAAAAAATAAATGCCAAAGTAATAAATCTAATTTATAAATGGGCAGATGAACAGTTCATTCTCTAAAAAAGAAATACAAATGGCTCATAAATGCATGGAAATGTTCAATATCCTTAGTGATAAAGATATGCAAATCAGCCAGGCACCAATGGCTCATGCCTGTGATCCTAGCTACTCAGAAGTCAGAGATCAGGAAGATCATGATTCAAAGCCAACCTGGGCAAATTGTTTGTGAGACCCTATCTTGAAAAAACCCATCACAAAAATGGGCTGGTAGAGTAACTCAAGGTGTAGGCTCTGAGTTCAAACTCCAGTACTGCAAGAAATAAAAAAAGTACAAATCAAAAATGACAGAGATTCCACCTCACCATAGTCAGAATGGCAGTCATCAAGAAAACAAACAACAGCTACTCAGGAGGCAGAGATCAGGAAGACCGCTGTTGGAAATGAGCCTGGGCAAATAGTTCAAGAGACCCTGTCTCAATAAAGCCCAATACAAAAACAAGGACTGGTGGAGTGACCCAAGGTATAGGCTCTGAGTTCTGAGATCAAATCCCAGTACCACAAAAAAAAAAAAAAAAAAAAAAAAAAGAAAGAAAACATACTTGGTGAGGATGCAGGGAGTATGTGTGTTGGAGAGGAACCTTTATAAACTTTGAATAGGAGTGTAAATTAAGTCCAGCCACTATGATAATCAGTATGGTTCCACAAGAAACTAAAAATAAAACTATCATATGATCCTGTTATACCACTCTTGGGCATATGATAGAAATTCCTACACACCATGTTTATAGCAGCACTATTTAT